AGAGAGAGAGAGAGAGAGAGAGAGAGAGAGAGAGAGAGAGAGATCGGTTTTATCAAATACGAGCTTAAATCAACCACACCAATATGCAACCCAGGGTATTACAGCAGTGCTTTTTGGTGCAAGATTAACACCACTCTATTTACCTTGGCATTCTAGATGGAATTCCCTTCTCTTAGAGTGATTGGTTTTTATTATTACTATATTTTGTCTCTATGTTCATGCAAGTAGTTTCAAGAACACTTTTGTACATGGGCCTGAAAGGTGGTTCAGAAATCAACTGAAATAAATATCTGAAATATATCTCCATGGATCTCCTTCCAGTTTTCCAGAGGTCCAAACAACAGAAGCTCCACGATGCCGCCTCTGTGATTCTGAAATGCTGCCTGCCACCCCATCCTCGTGAAGGGAAGTCCTTATTTCCCCCAGTTAGGGTCACAGTCGTAAGCTCACATCCTGCGCCAAGCAAGGCATGTCAACCTGAATCAAAGTCAATCAATCCTAAGGGCACCAAACTTCACACAGGATCGGGGCAGCCTTACAAGCCCATCCTGACCATTGTTCTGTCCTTCACAGAGAATGCCCAGAGACCGTTCCCCTCAGATGTCCTCTTCCACAGACCACGCATTTCTGTAACCCCAAAGGCAAGACTCCCTCTCTCCCCCACAAGAGAGACTCTGGCAGGCTCAGTGGAGAAGTTGAATAACATTTCAAATCTTGCAAGATTAATTCCCCCCGCCCACAACATTGTCAAGCATCAGTATTGGCGAGATAAGTGGAATTTTGGAGCTTTTGTTGCTGCCTATTTTCTTCTCCAAAAGGTCCTCTCCCCCCTTTTTAATCTCCTGATGCCAAGGCTTGGCTCTCTTCCCCATGTTTGTTTCAGTGCTTACCAGTGGGATTGCTGGACTTGCCAACACCACAGGGTTAAGCGGCTCAGATTTCTGGCCTGAGCCGCTTATTATTACAATGCACACTGTAGCTGTTTAAAAAACGGCCTGGTGACACTTCGCAGTCGCTGGACAGATTCATCTCTGTTCATCATTACTGACGTCCATTAACCAGGTTCAAGCCGCCGGCTTTCATTCCAAAAACGCTGGGCACAGTCCAGCCGGAGGTAAGCACTTTTAAGTCTCCTTGATTTCAACAGGAGACACGTAAACCTGCACTCCGCTCTCATGCTGACAAAAGAAATGGGGCTCAAAAGTGTTTAACTCTGGATGGGCCATGCATGTACTCAGAAAGTGATAATGCCCCGTAAGCCAGGAGCCATCGCAAAACCTTGTGGCTGCAATTTCCATCCATGAGTTGCACATGAATTGCACAGAGTAAAAAAGCACCTCCTCTTTCTTTCCATTAGATCGGAAACAGACACAAGAGGAACGCTCCTTTACAGAATGCGTCACCCTGTTTGCCGTGTTGAGGTGTAATGAATCCTTTGACTTCATTCTAAGGAGGTATCGGAGGGCTGAAGGGAGCCCCAACAGTTGCACAAGTGTAAAAAGTCCTCAGAAAACAGGGTGTGCGTGTGAGAGGAATGGGCCAGCCCAGGGTGGACTGAGCAGGCTGAACGGCATGCAATGCTGGCTGGATGTTGGCAAGTCGGAGAACAGAAGCATCCGTCTCTGGGCGGGTGGAGGGAACGGAGTGGCGTATCGTGGAGAAGGGCACAACGCACTGACTGGGGCAGGTGCAGTAGTGCTCCCTCGCTCTCTTTGCAACCATGCAATGGCATTCACGGCCACAGGATGGGCAAGGCCCACTGGCCACTCTGTGTCTCTAAAAGGGGATGGGAAGGCAGCTCCATGAAGCGCTCTAATGGAGCCTCCAGGTTCAGGAGCAGCAGGCCGGTGAACAGGTGCTGGAGGTGAAGAGCAGGCTGGGGCTCTGCTCAGCTTCCACGCCCTGCTTCCCATCCCGAAGGACCCGGCAGGAGCCCCCGGGAGCAACGCTTGCCCATCTCTGCAAGCGGCAAACAGCGCTTGCTGAGTCTCGCTGAGCTATGCCGAAAGTGAACTGATGCCTCGGTCGCTGGGGACATGCAAGCGGCGCCCTACGGGCTGCAGCGGCCAGAGGCTCTGGCCTTCCCCATGACATAACTGTGTGAGCAGACAATGCTCTAGCAGACAGCTCTGTCCGGGAGCTGATCCTCTGGAAGGCGGCCCCTTGCATCAGGAGAGCCCTGCCCAGGCCTCATGTCCGCCCAGGCCTCCTACGCTGTTTCGCTTGCCATGCCAAGATCCCCGTCCCCCTTTTCACTGGGACAAGCATGATAGGCTGCGAAGGACCCATACCCGACACTGAAGTACTGCCTCATCTCTTGACGCCGATTGCGCATGATCGCCTTGTATTCACCGATTCGCAGCTTCTTCCCATCCACTAAGCAGGTGCGCTTCGGCCTGGGCTTGTACTTGTAGTCTGGGTACTTTTCCAGGTGCTGCTTGCTGAGCCGGGCCTGCTCTTCGTAGTAGGGCTGCTTCTCAAGGTTGGTCATGGCTTTCCAGCGAGAACCTGCCAGGGGGGAAGGAAAAAGAAACCCTCGTCTCAGTGGCCCAGCGGCCCAGCTCTGGGCTGCAGGCAACCCTTTGGTCTCCTGCAATGCTAGGAAGTGTTTTTCTCCAGCTTGTGGGCACAGTCCTTTGAGTTACCCTGCAAACAGTCATGTGAGTTGATGGAGCATAAGAAAGAAAAGAATAATTATAGGCTCTTCTCCTTTCCTGTACTTGATGCCTGGAACTTCCTTCCACAATACCTGAATGATGCCATTCCTCTTACTTCCTTATTTATTATGAATAAATGATATTGTAATATATCACACCACACATCATTATAATATTACTATTCTAATAATATTATTGATTACATATAATAATACATATTATTTCTGTATTGCACTTCCTTCACATCCCTTCTCAAAGCCATTACTTTTCCTGACGTGCAGATATAACCCGCAATATCAGACTGCACACACTTGGAAATACATGCACATGGTCTCTCTTCCTTTCCCAGCCTCCACTGAACACCTCTTCTCCTGTTGTCTTCCTTTTATGGATGGACCGGTCTCCATTAGTTCTACTTTTGTGTAAGGATCCACCCCAAAGCATCCAAGCAGGGATGGGCAGAGGGCCGACATGGATCTGCCGCTAAATGCTGGATGATCTGCAGTAGATCAGTGGGGATCATTGTCTCCCAACTTCTGCAAAATGATTCCCAACATCTGTGCTAAATTATAACATGGATAAGAAGAAGGGTTGGGGAAACCAGGAGAGGACTGGTGTGCAGGAAAAATGGAAGCTCTGTTTGATCCTGGAGCTCAGAACAAATTCCTAGGTTTATAATTCTAAGTGCAGGTCATTACTGGGGAATCTTGGGGTTCCAATTTTAAAAAATCCTGCCAGTCTACTTGCTTTTCCTGCAAAGACCATGCACTGCAATTGAACAACAACAACACTTTGTACTTGCTTTTATAACCCCGTTTCCTCTTGGACACAACCAAGATCAACTTACAGGATCCTTCTCCTTGCCATTTAATCTCACAACAACCCTGTGAGGTAGGTTAGGCTGAGAGTGAGTGACTGGCCCAAAGTCACCCAGGGGGCTTCATGGCAGTGCAAGGACTAGAACACCTATTTCCTGTGACTCTAACCATTGCACAGCCCTGTCTCTCACAGTGGTGACAGCGATGCCAGTATCATTTAGAGCAGTGGCTCCCAAACTTTCTGAGCATTTTTCCTCCATGGAACCCTAAGTCTCTCCCTGATTTTCACTAAGCACAACATTTTTCCTTCTTTCATCTGCTCGTATTACCTGAGTGCATTGCATAACTTAGAAGGCTTGGAAATAAAGATAAAACATTTGAGATTTAATGAATGAAGCAATTACATGGTACTATCCCAAATGGATTCTTTCGATTATTCCCAACACTGTGCAATAGAGTCCGAGGAACCAAATGCAGTTCCTTGCTTGCCGTTTGCTGACAATCGAATAGTTGGCCTTAAGTGGTCTCACTTTAAAATCCATTTTAAATTTGATTTTTGAGATTTTTTGTGGGACCCCTGTGAGGCTTTTGGGGAACGCTAGGGTTCCATGGAAAGCAGTTTGGGAACCGCTGATCTAGTGCACTGGTAATACGATCCGAGCCCCTACCTGTTGTTTAGTATTATCTGAACAAACCGATAATATTGCACCCTATTGTACTCTGCTCCTTTCAGTGGCAGTGCTCTAAGTAGGACTGACACAGGGTAACCCACGCACCTTATATCAACAGATACATTGCACTGGTCAAAGAAGGAGTGACCCAAGCAATTACGAGAAGGGGGGAAATCTTGCTTCATGAGCAAAATAAAGACCAAAGCAATGCTTTGCACACACTTGGGAAAAGAAAAATATGACACGTGGAGAAACAATATTCATTTGCTGTCCAAATTGCTTTGCCTAGAGGAGTTGGGTGGGGAGATCTTTGTTCTTAAAAAATACTCTTGGTGCTCATAAATCTGGGATGGGAGATTTGGGGGGAGAGAAAAGAAATGATCCAATGGGATATTACTCAGTCGAGGCTTGGAGCACTCAGTCTCTCTGGGAAAAGTGAGATGAGTCTGGCTGCGAAAGCAAACGTTGGATGGAAATGATTCCATTCCTGTGTTCCAGGCGGGAAAGTGTTTGCAAGGATGTTGTGGGGGCTGATCAGAATTTAACTTGGGAGATGGTGCTGTTACTTGCTGCATTTAGTTCATAGTATTACTACATCATCATACCCCCTAGATGGTTTTTAATATACAAAAAGCTTAAATTTCCACCCTTTTAAACACATTCCTTGCTTGCCCTCTCTCCAAGAAAAATACAAAAAGTGACTAGGCTTTTTATAGCGAAGTCTCATGATTACACTATGAGCAACCTATTTTTCCACTTGTCATATTAGGTGGGTGCAAAGTCCTTCTGAGAGGGTCAAAGGAAGACTCGGGAGCCAAACCGGATACCAGTGATTGGAAGGCAGTGATGCACTCAGAGAAAGAGAAATGCAGCCGTTTGTGGGTGGCGACAAGGGAGTCTAACAGGACCAAAAGGAAACCCTGCCAGGGAAGGGGCGGGGGGGGGGGGGGGAGGACAGATCCCGTTTCTGCATCAAGGGCAAGGGCAACCTTACATCTCCTCTACCTTCTATCCGTGTCCTGGCAATGGCTACTTAGCCACTGAGGGTGTCCAGCCACAGTAATCCCCTTGCAGCAAGCGAAGCACTAGCTGATTCCTGCAGTGATTTCTTTAGCACATTTTGTAAATGAAATGCTTTATCATTCCTACCTCAATGGCTCTCACAACTAACCTATTGGTCTAAGAAAGGGTGACTTCCCCAAGGCAGAGCAGGAATTTGGAACTGGCGTCTTCTTTTCCAGGTAGCCTGACTTAATTAATTGGGGGAAGTGAATTATGCTGCTATTTGTGTGAATACAGTGAAGATACACGGGGGCTTTGCAGTGCAGAAGCTTGAACAGGCTTGGATCACGGGGATGGGGACTTGAATTCACCTTGGCAAGGCTGCCTTGTGCCTTTGAAGGGAAACTTTTAGTGGCGTGACTGGGAGTTTCCCTTGCAAAGAAAACATCACTTTGGCATGGGTGATTTTTTGTCGTGACCCTGGCGGGGAGAGCAAGAAAGGGGTTAACTTTCCGACATCTCCCTAAGGCAGGGGTCCTCAAACTTTTTCAGCAGGGGGCCAGTTGAGAGGTGGCATTGGTGGGTGTGGGCCGGTGAGGGCCCTTCTTTCTTCCTTTATATAACGCAAGGCAGGACACATGCAGTCCTCATTCAGGCATGGATCAGGCTTGCCCAGCATCTATGATGTGGCTGCATTGAGTTCCTTGAGGCCATTCCACTAACCCAAACCAAGCCTATATGGACCAGGGGCAGGTGAGGAATAGATCTGGTTCACCTATCCGTGAAAACTCACTAGATTGGCATTTCCCACACCCAGACACAATCCCCCAGGGATGTCAGAGGAATGTGCTACGGGGTGTCAACCTGATGGATTTTCAGGATTCAGCCTCCCAGATTCCAGTTTGTTAATCCCAGGCTGGCACTGAGTCCTTTTTCTGTGAGCTGAGCTTGCTCACATGCTTATGTCTCCAAAATGAGCTGCAATGGGCACATTTAAAAAATAAAATAAGCACAGATAGTGCTATTTGGAAGCTGAAAACAGAGCAGTTCTAGTGCAATTTGTGCAAATCACACCAGATCATGTAATTTCCGGCTTCTAATCAGCACAAATAGCATCTGACACCAATTGCACAAAATGCAAAATGTTTGCAAACTGCAGTACTGTTTGCAAATTACTCAAAGAGCACAATTTCCCTACTTCTCCTTAGCATTTTATTCAACTTTTCCAAACATGGACCATCTTGGAGATGGAAGTCAACAGAAGAAGATATGACTTGACCCACTTTTAATCTCTGGATTAGGAAAGGCAGGAAGTTTGCAGAGCTCAGATGAGCTGACTTCCCAACAGCTGGCATGCAGACCGGTGGCAGACGCTGTACTTCACAACACCCAGTATTGCACTCACCCGAAAAAGTGTACAAAATGTGTACATTTGAAAAATGTGAGTGCAAAGATGCATGCACCCTTGAAACAGAATGTATAAAGGCGTGCCTAATTTAGGCAATTGTACACAAAACACTGTAACTGATGGAAAAACTAGTTGCCAAAAGTTTGACAAAGTGCTATAAAATATAGATATTTTGAACAATATGTACAGAATTGCACTTTAGTGCAAACTAAGATAAAGAAATATCTAATGTCTAAACCAGACCAAATGGACTTGGTAGGGACAAAAGGGTAAAACTGAGCTATAACTTGATATGCACTTCAGCTCATCTCCACCCCCCGTTACCTGCATCTCCTGCAAGCTTCTTGGGGCAAAGACCTTTCTATTTCTTTTGAAAAGCACAACACACATCAATGCTATAGAAAAATAATAAGCAATGATAGAGGTATCACTGTATCACATTTCAACAACTGGAGAAAAAAACTTACTACACAAGGATGCCAGTGACTAAAAGTCCATCTTTTCATCTTCTCCCCACTCCCACAAAAGTCATAGAGTATGAAATATCCCTCTTTTTAAAATTAACATCAATAGATACAAAGAAAGTATCACAGAGTAAGAGTGCACACCATGAGAAGCTGAGGCACCTTTTAAAAACGGTAACATGGGCATTCTTGCATGTGTTATTCCTTGTTGTTTGACACCTCCCCCCTTTGATACATCTGTTTACATATCAATGAATAGATGGGTGGCAAAGATGCACACAGATTAGCTTTCTAAAAAACCCTTGCCTTGGTACATATGATTACTTTCTATGCTCAGGATATAATACCACAGGGTCAACATCTAGGATGTTGCGAATGAGTGCCAAAAGAAGACGCTCCTTGGATGATTCTAGGATACCCACACATTCACAGAAGCTGGTGCACGCCAAGAAGAAAGGGAAAATACATGACAGAGAGTTAGAATACTTGAGACTTTCTTGCAAGAGGATTTGGATACCTGGTTGATCTGTAAGCTTCGACTCACTCTTGTTCCTCAAGTTAACAGAGCGCTCCCTGCTGAGTTCAAAACCTGGCCTTTGACAACCCAGAAAGGACCTTTGGAACGTTTTGCCAGCAAAGAGGAGAGCGTCTTGCCCCACTTTATTGCAGAGGAGGAATGGATCCCTCCCCCTCTGATGTTTCACAGCAAGACGATCTCTCGCTCGCTCACAAATCTCACTGTCTCTCAGCACAATGGGCTCGAGAGCTGAGCTGGACTGTCATCTCCACGAGAATCTGGAATGGATTTGCACATCAGAGTCCACCTAGCATAACTGTAATCAGGAAAAGATGTCCTCGATGTGCTAGATGCATCCCCTCGCACACCAGCACACATGCTGGCCCAGCCCAGCGCTAAACAGTAAAAGGTGATTCCTTATGTTAAAAATTTCAGCCGAAATGGCTTATTAAAACCAGATTTGGAGGGTATTATAAAATGCTTAGAAGCCCTTTAAAATGTCAACGCGGATCCCCTAGAGACTGAGCAAAATGTCAGCCCGGCTCAAGCGCCTATTTTAAGCAGAATGAATTAGCGGCGTGCTCTTGGAGTTTGTTATCCCAAACAATCAGTTAAGACGGGGAAACATTGGGCTTCCTTTGTACTTTCTGTATGAAAAGTAGCAGTGTGGGAGGGGGCCAGTCGCAGTGGTCTGACCCGTTTCTGAAGATGATTACTTAAAGGCAAGCTTAATCAGGACCACTCTTAAATCCAGAGACTGGGCCAAACGGTTTGCCTCCCAACTCATATGCTTAATCTCAACGCCGTAACCATCTCTAAATCCTTTCCACTAGTGTATATAAGTTTTAGCGTTCCCGGAGCAAATGTCATCTCCTTATCTTGCTTTCTTTTGGCTAATCTAATCAGTTCAGGAGCCCCACCGAAGCCATCCTACTTGCCATCTGTAACCAAAAGCTACGCTGTCCGTTCAGTGGAAGATCAATGACTGTGGCTAATCCGGCTCCTAAGGGCATCTCCGCAGTGACCAACGTTTGCAGGTCAGGCTGAGCCGACCTGCGTGTTTTGCAGAATGAAATGCTGGCATGCTGGACCCCATCGCCTCTGGTTGTGCGAAGGACGTCCTGCACCTGAGTGACCCTACACGAACATCTACGTTTTGCATCAATGTTTATGAGTTTTGTGAACTGCCTGGAGAGCTTTGGCCACTGGGCAGTATGGAAATAATACTAATCATGATGATGGTGTTGATGATGATGAAAAATGGATATGCCTTGACAATGGCGAATTAAATTCAGAGAGGAAAGGTCTGCTGATGGCTATGGGTCGTGATGGCTACATGCTGCCTCTCACATCGGAGATCTCTGAAGACCGGTCGTGAGAAACGTGCGCGGCAAGTGCTCAGTGTCCATATGAGTCACTCATGCCCTGTTTGCCCATTTGCTTTTGGCATCTCCTGGCCATTTTAGGGCACATGACACTAGACTAGATAGGCTGTTGATTCTTGTGCTTTGTTTAATGTGCAGAAAGACCTCTGTGAAGACAGATGACCGGTCAGCATCTCACCTCCCCAGAACTGAGATGCTTCAGGAAGTCAGCTCTTATGAATTCAGCTGCAAATTGGGCCGATCCAATCACTGCCCCAGACTAATGAATATTATCACATTGCACAAATTCCCCACCTTTCCTTCTTTTGCCAAAAACAACACAACACAAAAACAGCTTACACGGTTCTCCCCCTCTGCATTTAATCCTCGCCACAACAACCCTGTGAGGTATGTTAGGCCGAGAGTCCATGACTGGCCCAAAGTCACCCGGTGAGTTTCAAGAACCCAGAACTCCTGAGTCTCATTCCAACCACTTTGCGACAGCGGCAAATGTGTAGAGGGGGACCTTTTCCTGCACTCAGATTTATTTCGTTTCTTTACTGTGCAGCGGGCAAAGATCTTGGGACGGTTTGCGAAAACTGCAGCCCAATAAGAGCGCGACTTTATGGCATCCACCCGCAATGAGTACAAGCTCCACACATGCTTGCCAGTGGTGGCTTTTGGCGCCCATGTAGTTTGCCCAAATGGCTCTTTGGCTATCAAGAGGAAGCCCAGGGGAGGGGGAAGGAGGGCATGAGTGTCTCATATATGCACAGGGAGACTATTATTATTATTATTATTATTATTATTATTATTATTATTATTATTATTATAACATTTCTATGCCGCCCCTTGCCGAAGCCTCGGGGCGGCTTACAACACAATAAAATACATTGAAATACAATAGAACACAATAAATTACTACTAAATACAAAAATACAAAAAATACACTGAGATACAAACATAATAATATAAAATTAAAAATAACAGTATAAAATAAGTAAATAAAGAATATAAGAGGAGAAAAGAGAAGGAAGAAGAAGTTTCCCTGGCCAGAGCATATATTTTAACAATTAAAATGATGTTTAAATAAAAAGGTCTTTACCTGGCGCTGAAAAACCAGTAACGACGGTGCCAGGCGGACCTCTTTGGGGAGTGAATTCCATAGGTTGGGCGCCACCGCAGAGAAAGCCCTCCTCCGAGTACTTACTCTCCTAATTTCTTTCATGGAGGGTTCCCGGAGAAGGGAGTCTCCCGCAGATCTCAAGGGGCGGTCGGGCAAATACGGATGTAAGCGCTCGTTCAGGTAGCCAGGACCCAAACCGTTTAGGGCTTTATAGGTCAATGCGCGCTCCCCCCTTCCCCAGCCCCAGCGCATATTTATTCCTCTCTCTGAGGTGCATTTGTGCTCTCGGAGATGCAGCCAGAGTGGATCTTTCCACACCAGCTGCAAGGGGACAGGACAGGGACTCAGCCTTCTGAATCCCAGCACTAAAGGCCCAAGACCTTGGCACTGTGACTCCAAAAATACCGTTGCCTACGGCCCAGAAAAAGCCAGGAGGCTGTAAGACTGCATCCTAAAGAGACAACATAAAACCTTCAAAAAACCAAAATCTGAAACGTTCTGAACCAGCTACAAGCAATTAACAATATACTAACAAGCCAGGTAAAATAAACAACATCCAAAAGGATAGCTTGAGACTGCAAGGATGCCCATCCTGGCACAAGCAGACTTTAGCTGGGAGAGCGTTCCTTAATTATCTGTAGAATTTCACACTTCCCCAACTTTTGTATTGAGGTTCTTGAGTATTGCGGAATAAAAGATGTTTTCAAATGCATGCTTTGAGAAAACACACAGAGATGTAAATGTTGTGATAATATAAAAAGACGCATTTACAGATGAAATTGGATGGAACCGACTTGTGGACAAACACTGAAATGGACGGGACATAACGTTATCCATCCTTACTCACAACCAACAGCCTTGTTCTTGGTTTATTTTCTTACCTAATATTTTGCTGATGTTGGAATTGTGCATATCGGGGAAGGCCTGAAGGATCTTCCGTCGTTCGTCTTTCGCCCACACCATGAAGGCATTCATGGGGCGCTTGATATGTGGCTCATTGCTCCCACGCCCTCTGGATTCCCGGTAAATCCGAGATTCCGAGACCCCCGCACTGCCTAAAAAGTTGGGATAGGAGGGGGAAAGGAAGGAAATAAAGAGCATGATTTTACTAGGGTTTGCTACCCCCTTGTCAACGAAAGGAGGCTACTGTATTGGGACTTCAGGTCAGATTCATCATAGATTCTCGGTCAAGGAGGAAGCAGAACTGCTTCTATTTCTGCAAACACACTACACATTGATTAGTACCAACATGAACATGCCCATTCCTTCCACCCATGAAAGAGGAGCCCCCAGCCAGGGAACTCAGGGGCTGGGACAGGGGCGTGAACTTTCACTCCTTCTGCATAATGCATTCGGGGAGGAGCAGCACAGGTTTTATTTTGGGTGCAAAAAGTACATCGGGGCTTTTGCCGGCCATTTCTCCATCCTGCAGCAGGTCCTAGAGGTGCAAGGGGGATGCGGTGGGTGGTAAAGAAAGAAGAGAGCTATTTTGCAAATGGGGGGATGTGGAAGGTAGTGTGGAAGCCCTCGTTTATTCTTGCCTATCCTGCACGTAGAACTGCATGGCTTCGTGCTAATTGTGGTTCCTACGACATGTCCGTTCTGTGCTAGTAGTACCAGGCATCCCAATGTCGGAGCAGGAACACTAGATGATCTCTTAATATGGGTAAGATATCCCTCACAGCCTGAAAAATCTGCAGCCAAAGTTGAGCTGAAGGATTTGACAGTAGAACCTTGCCCCGCACCCCTGCCAGGTTTTGCTCATTGGGCAGCCTTCTTACTGTAAGAGAGGTGGAAATCGATACTTAGGGATGCTGTGGTATCTCATTCATGGGAAGTTTTATCGGCCATCTCTTGGAAATGCTTTAGGTACTGGATGTCTCACCTTACAGCAGATGGAGAAGGTAATGGATTCCAAGCAACTCTACTAACCGAACTTCCAAGATTCCACCCATGCTTAAAAGTCCCATTTAGTACAATGCATGACACAGAGATCCATAAGGTCACCCCATGTAATCTTACAATAGTTCTAAGCCTTTAAGGGCTTAATCAAAAGAACTGCTCCATCTCGCCCAGTAATAGCTCCTTCCCCTACGCTTAGAAATTCATTGGGAACCTCAACTAATATAAACACCCTAATGAGGAATATGGCGGAGATGTTTCTATGTGCGGGTTGCCTCTAAAGGTATCTTTTCAGAGAATGTTCTGAAAGTATACCCATAAAAGAACCCACACTGGATACCTGCCATTTGTGCAAACACAAGGGTTTCTTCATGTATTGTTAATAGGTGTATCTTTAAAAATACCTTGGGTTGGATGCAGATTTAGTTGTTTGCAACTGGGCTAGTGGAAGATTTCCAACCCTCTGAAAATGTTACAGGTGCCAAATGAGGTGAACTGTGGTGCATTAGGGGGTGGTACAAAAGGGAGGGGGGTCTCTGGGAATTGGGATACCTTGCAGTGGGACCAGCTGCCTAGAGAGGTGGGGTGGGCTCCCCCACACTAGAGACATTCAAGGAGAAACTGGGCAGCCATCTGAGTGGGATGGTGTAAGGTGGTGTCCTGCAATAGCAGGGGGTTGTTCCCGATGGCCTTCATGGACCCTTCCAACACTACTACTCTATGATATGACTCTGGTGAGCGAACACTTTTGTTTAAATTGATTCTGGCTCCAACTGCATAGGTGGACAACTAAAAAAGTGTAATGTATGAATCAGACTTAAGAAGGGAATATACCCTTGATCATCCACCTTATCACACACTGACACCACTGTAAATGTTGAGGCAGAAAACAGCATAATGCTTCTATCCAATCTAAACCAACTCCTACAGTCCCTTTGTGCTCGTGGCCTTTGGCCAAGCAGCATTGTCATTCAGCGGTTGGTTATCCCAAATCCATGTTTGTTTGCTTCCTTCTTCTCATCTTTCTAGAGCAAAAGATGTGTCATGGATGAATCAACGCCATTTGCAATGGTAAGAAAATCCACCCACTCAACACCGCCTAAGGTATAACATCACCAGCTTTGTTTAGCAGGTGTTTCCAACATGGACCAAGCACCAAGAGTGTCTGAGCTCTTTCTCCGTCGGTGGTGGGTGCACAGGGACAGCTGGGAATCAGGCAAGTGTGCTTCGCTACTGACCGTCAGAATCTCCACTCATGTTGAAATCCATCATAGCGTGGCTGAACTTCCCGTCTTCGTTCTGTTTGACTGCCAACTGTTGAGTCAGGTTCTCCAGTGTCGTTTTGTCCTGGGTGGAGAAAGAAGAGAGGGCACAAAGCAGCCTTTTTATTAACATGCAATGGAACCGCAAAGTTCATAGGTAATTTGCAAGATTCCCCAGGGAAGAGGGTTAGCAAATAAGAGAGAAGGCTGTTGAGTTGGAAAATAAAATGAAAGGGGAAAAATAACATAGTCTTTCTGGGGAGGTGTTATGAGTATTATGGCTGAACATTCTCCCTTCCCATGTAAAAATACAGCTTTTTAGCTGGTGATGAGCAAACCTCAATGGCCTGAGAAATTCAGATGGGCTGGACACGAGGATGCCTCTTGAAAAGTTCTAGTGGTTCTGTTAAAATACATTGTATGGCAGGGGAATTTAGCTTTCTTTCTTATTCATCAACACACAAGACCACTTTAGACATTAATCTGTCTGATGTTTCAATTGATACTTGAGCTTGAAAAACCTGGAAGACATAACGGTGCAATTCACAGAAGTGGAAGAGCCAGCCAGGGTATTCCTGCTGCTATTTTTTCCCTGCTCTTGGCTGAGAGGCAAGTAAGGCAATTGAGAAGATGGCCAAATGCTCAGGCCGAGCCAAGATGGCTACCTGTCCGTAGGTAGTGAACAGAGCCCTACTGTTCTGGTGATTTTCAAGAACACCCTGAAAAGTGGGTGGCATTTTTAGCCCTTTCTTCCCCATGATGGTCATGCTCCCTGCTTTGGGCTGCTTGCTTGTTTGCTTTCTTTCTTTACCCACAAGAATACTCAGGTGAGGCCTAGAGGCATTGATTTGATGCGATTCACCGAGGAGATGATGACATGGAAAGATTTGGCTTCCACGGGATGGCATTTGAAGTCCTATCAGAGCACAGACGATGCCTCCTGCCTACATTCTGGTGTTCTGGGGTTAAAAAAACAGAAGGGGAAGAAGCTGCCCAGTGGGGTGCAACTGCCATGAAGACCACAAATAGGTAGTGAGAGATGAGAAAAATGCCTTGCCTTCTGACCCTCCTCCTTCCTTCAGCTCATCCCTAGTAAAAGCACAGCCTGGAATTCAAAGAATGCCTTAGACCAGTCCAGGAAAAGTCACCCTGAAAAAGAGACCCACCCAGCAGGGCCACTGTGCTTTGCTAGCTAGTGGGCTGTGCTAACCCTAGTAGGTCCCTACCTGTGCAAGCCCACCTTAATTGCAGCTGAGGGTTCCGGCACACACACCGGATCACCGTAAACACTTCCTCTCCTCAGCCTACACCAGCAACCGCTTTCAGAGCTCCCTTGAGTCTTGCGATTGGCTTGGGCACGGTGTGGTTGTGCAGGAGCCACAGCCATCCTGCTGTGCATTCAGAGCTCTGGCATGCGTCCCCTCTGTGTTTACGAGCAGCCCTGTCCAGCCATTCACTCCTTGGTCTGAATGCCTCGGAGAGCAATGGATAATGCTGCACATTTGGTTTGGAGGAGCTGCATTGACTGCAAGGCCCCGGGAGAAGCTTGGCAGAATGCACTTCTTTCTCTGAGTGGGATAGCTGTGCTCTTTGCAGCTGCAAAGTGTTTCCAGAGGCAGGAGTGCCACAGAGCTGCTCGCGAGTAAGCGCAGGCCGCACCCCCCCCCCCCCCCCCGTCTCCACAAGTTGCACTGCTCAACTTGTCTGGCTTTCTGTCGCCTCCCTCGGCAGAACACGGGAGTGATAAGAGAGGGAGGAAACAGAGGCTCTGTTTCATCGACAAAGCGACCCCTAACCTCCCACTACTAAAACATGCAGTATAATAAAATAATTCAATTAGTCACCATCAAAAGGAAAGTTGAGATAATTCTCAGAGGCTGTCACTCCAAAACCGAGCAATGTCAAAACAGTCAAGCAATGCTTTTGTTATGCCCCTCTGAGCCATGACTTAAGTGAACCCTCAGTCAATCTCAGTGTGGGGGCAAGGGAGGAGGATGCCAGGCGGGAGCCAGCAGAGGGAGGGGGAGGTGAGATGCGAGTCACACGAAGCTTTAATTATAAAATCACAGAGCAGCCTCCAAGGCCGAGACGGCCCAGCCGCTGCACTTAACCAATCGCTGCCGCTGAAGCAAGGAGCAAAATAATGCCGCTTAAAAACCCTGACATATATACACACTCACAAGAGGAAAAGCAGGGACACTCAACTGAGCGAAGCAGGCTGTTTGAGTTTAAAGGAAAGGACCCGATAATCCATAAATTAAACACTTTCAATCTAAGAGGGAAGCAGCATTTGAGGGAAAGCTCTACCGGGACACGGTAGGGGGTTAGAGGGGAAGAAACGGGAAAGTTTTGAAATAGCATAATTAACTAATGATACTTTGGCTCCATGGTGTGTGTTTTAAGCTGAGGATCACTATTGGTAATGGGGATTCATTAAGAAAAGGAAGGGAAGGGAAGGGAAGGGAAGGGAAGGGAAGGGAAGGGGCATGTGTGTGTGCGTGCGCGCACACGCACATGTACAGGGAGTGGTGACCATCCAATGGAATCAAAAGGCCATCTGTTATGTGACTAGCTATGCTCAAATGAATTAAATCGTTATGATGCTACTGATGGAGACTTTTCCTTGAAGTATGGCAGGTTGAGGTCTCCTATGACAATGGGGCCCCTCATCCATTGCAGCTTTTGTTTTGAGCTTTCCATGAACATGGTGCTCCATAGTGGTGATCCTATTTTGGATATGGAGATCAGCACCATGGCCAGCAACTTGTAAGCTCAACATAAAAGCTGCAATTGATGAGGTGCCCCACTGACATTGTGGGCACCAGTCTTCCCTACCCTAAAACAAGCACTAGCTTCAAAGGAGAGATTTACCCCACAACAGCAGCAGGGGCCACTCCCCAGTTGCTGTGATTCCAATACTTATCAATGCCAGGTGCTTTTCTATCAAAAAAACACCCCCCTGCCTGAAACCTCATGCATACGTATTCATGCAAAGACAGATACCATGTTTAATTTGGCCCTGGACTGATGTAGGTCAGATCTACATTGTAAGCCGCCTAGGAAGGCCTTGGCAATGATAGGTGGTCTATAAATATATGTAAAAAATAAATAAACAAATATAATTTTTTAAATATTTGTATTGCCTATTACTTACAGTGAGTCACCTTGTGGATTTTCCAATGGAAAGTATAGCAATTTGTATGATATCAGTCCGGTTATTGGAAAATGTATCCCAGTATCCCAAAATCTAACCTAGCATCATCTGCTGTGATTGACAGCCTCTCTCCAGGGTCTCAGGCAGAAAAAGGTCTTTCCAATTACTTGCTTCCTAGTTCTTTAAGTGGAGAAAACATGGATTGCCTCTGGTGCTTTCTGCAAGCAAAGTATCCACACAGGTGATAAGCCATTGTCTCTCTTCAGATGCATAGAGATAATGATAACGATAGCAATAGTGTGGGAAGGAACATAGCCTGGGCAGGATTATCTACAACACATATGTGCAAATCAGCGAAACTCAAGATTTCTGCCATCTTCAAGTTCCATCTTGAATCTCATTCCGTATCAGAATACAAGCTTTGCAGCTTTGCGTTTTCCCACATCAAAATTGGTGCATATTAGTTTTGTCAAATGTATGCACTGATTCTGCAGATCTTTGAAATACATGTACTCTTCTCCCATTGATCAAAGTTGAACTGCACATTTTTCAAAAGGATACATGCTGTCCATCACACAGTTTGAAGAGGTGGGAGCCCCTGAACCATCTTACAAGCTCAGAAACGTGTGGGTTGTGTCTGAGTCTGTTCAATCTGGATGGTGTAAAGTAGGAAAAATGCTCATCAAAAATAAACTGAAAATTTCTCACATATCCCTAGAATTCCTCCATGCACCATGTGTCCCCATCAAATGAGGGATGGTGCACGATCTGAGAAAGAGTGAGGAAGGCACCGCAGCTGCTCCCCTATGGATGTGTGACATTTGCGCTTGATGGATTGTTAACATATTTCTGACCCAGTGGCTTAAACACAGGCCTTTATTTTTGAGCTTTTACTTTTGGCTTCTGTGAAGTTGCTGGAAATATTCACACCAATCGGGAGCCAAGCGATTTCTCTTGTGCGATTTGCACAAATTGCAGAGCGGAGAACTGAATTCTGTGCAAATTTCCCCAGTTTTTATTTTTAAAATACACAAATTGCTGCCTGCTTTAAAAATGAAAGTCCACATCCTGTCCTGACTCATATCAGAATGAGTTGATGTCAGCAGAAGATCGGCGGAATGCCATCCACAGGGCCAAGCTGAGAGAATCTGCTGATTTTCACTCCCCTATTGGATGCCCCACCCATTTCTAGGTTTGTCTAATATCAGTTTTGCTGCCATCCGATCAGATCTTCTTACCTTCACAGCACCTTCAATCTCTTTCAGCTACACATTTTCTTCTAAATGCTTATACACTTGTTTTTATCAACACTGAATTTCAAATTGTGGTTTTTCCTTGTTGATGGTTAGGCTGAGAATTTAGTCACAGAGTGGCTTACAAATACTGCAGTTCGTTCGTTTGTTCATTCGTTCATTCACCTGATAGCTCAGCAGTAGCCTCTCCAACTGTAGCAGGAGGTCAGTGTATCTCTTTTGGGGAAGTTTAATAAATGCCCCCCCTTTGAACATCCAGCCCACTTAAACATTTCAGAGCTTGGTCAACCACATGAGTGAAAAAGTCATATAATGCATGGCAGAGGGCCAAATTGAATAATGCTTTCCATCAAGAGTTAAGCTGTTTACTTTAGAAGAAGTGGGTGGCAATATCCTATCAGCCAGACTAGGCACCTTTGAGATGGCATTTCCATTTATTTTCATGGCATCACTCAGTCAAAGGAAATGGATACGCTTTCCCACCCTCGCCCACTCACAAATTAACTGCGGCATATTGATAGCGGAGCAACCCACCTTCGTCTTGCAAAATCCATTTAGCGATTCCAAATGGGGAAGCACAAGGGTGTCAGGTTAGTCCATCAAAATGCATCCATTAATCATGGCTGGTTTTGATGGAATATCAGTTTTGAGGCATTTTTAAAAATAGTTAACTGTTGC